ATGCGCTTCTGACCAGTATCTTGGATTGGTCATTCTTGGCATGTACATGTACGTGTGTTGAATTCTTATGGTTCAACTTCAGTCGATCGAGCTAGAAATGATTGACTCGACTAGTTTGATCCAAGGATCCAACTGGCGTTTTTTTCACACATATATCGACGAAGATTCGATGGGCTGGCTCAAGCGTGACTTGGCTGGCCTCATATGGAAGCATGTACAAATGTGCGATGAACATGGCACCAGGTTCTGTGCATGTGTGCTGTCTTTGGCACAGTGTTTGGCAGTGACACTTAAGGAGTTGGAGGTGGCACCCATTTCAAGAATAGACCTCGGTGGACTTTGAGAGTGGCTCGCTTGAGGATGAGGAGCATGAAACATCGGATCCGAAGGTTGCTTGGAGTTGTCCTACTTTGGATGTGCATGCATGTGCATGTTTCTGCAATGTTTTTAGTTGTGTGCTGGGATGAGTGCATATATATGCATACATCTGAGGCTGATGAGCTCATCGGACCAACGCCCGTTGCAATGATGGGATGGGAGGTTGAAAAATGTGCGTGACAGCTTGTGAGTACTCATGGCAATGAACAGATTAACAAGCAACGTTCCCAAATGGTCCATTCTGGAAATGGCTGTTGTGCCAACGACCGTTGTTTTGGAGGCTGTTGGACTTGTAGGGTCCACCCTGGTAGCCGTAAGGAAAATCCCACTTGGGGGCCGCTACTTGGGCCCCGACGGTGGGGAGTGATGGTGTATAGTCGAGACTAGCGGTGCCCGCCCCCTTCCTAGCGGTGCCCGCCCCCTTCTAATATCAAAATCATATACCTCTATAGGTTGGGTTCATCCTATTACCTGTAACAGTGGATGATGATGATTAGGTACCAGGCCTTGTTCAAAAATGATGATAACTGCTTACTGACTGTTACAGGTATGAGGACAAACCCTATACATACAACAGTTACCCCCAACGAGCGAGTCTCACGAGCGAGTGATGCTGTCTGGAAATAGGGTACAGTGGATGTGTGTGTGTGTGTGATGTTCACAAAGCCTGAACAACTCGACTTGATATATAACATGCAAACACTTGCTGCAGGTGATAAACAATCCGGCGGCGACGCGTTTCCATCGGACCATTCCACGTTGCAAACGGTTGGCTTCAACAGCTCTTTCTGTGGGGTTGCGAAGTCTCCGACAAGGAGAGTATGGCAGTAACCCGGGCAAACACGGGTCAGAACCCTTTTCTTTCTGTCTGTTTTGGCTTCTTCTCTCCTTTCTCGCAACCACATCTCCATGTATTCTCCCGGGCATTCTTCTGCCACGCGAATAGAGATCTAAGTTAAGCAATTGAAATTCTAGAGCGAGCCTCCTTCGGAGGCGGCTCACAAGTGGCCACAAAACGCACGCAGCTTCCCTTCACCCAATGGCAGTCACCATTACACCACAGCTCTCCATGTCCTTGCGGGCAACCCTTGCAAGAAACCGCTCGATGCAATCCACATGAGACAGATTCAGCAGCTGGGACACATTCTTCAGTGCCCCCGATCCACACGCACTCGCCATTGCACCACATTTCGCCGTGCCCCTGTGGGCATTCTGTGCATGATGCAGCATAGTGCCCTCCACACCTCACTGCTATTGGCTGAAAGGAGGACTTTGCTTTGCAAGCTCCATTCACCCAGTGGCAGTCTTGGTCACATGCAGACTCCCCCGTATGAGCACACTCCTCACAGGAACTGGCCCAATACTTGCCACACCTCACAATACCACCCCGGAGGTGCACGATGGAGAGCCCTCTGCTTTGTGCCAACATGGCGGAAGAAATTGAGGAGTAGAACTCCTCTTTGGTGACCCACTCCTGGTTGGTGATCTAGACACAATTGACATGATAATAATAGTAATTACATGTAATGACTGGAATATTTTTGCACCCCCCCTTCAACAAGAAAATCATCAATTGGCGCACAACCATTCTCTCATTATCCTAAACTAGCAGAATTGATGGAGTGACTTACTGTAAATGCAATCAATACTCCCAAACCACCCACTCAAACTCCTCCCACATCACCATCATCGTGGCCAAAATGCTCTCTTCCCCTTCCAGCAGGTAGGGCTCGTTAGGCTTCCCCGGACGTCCGAAATAGGGGCCGAGCCGCAGGAGTTGCTGAACATTCTCCAGACCAGAGGAGATCTTCATGCATTGGCTGTAGGTCCAACCCAGCTCATCAGGCCAAGTCCACCACTCCTTCTCAGGAAGAGTGGAGTTAAAGAAATCATGCCCTTGTGCAATCACATGCGACAATTTGCTTGGTGCCCATGCCGTGCCCATACGTATCAAATGTGTGAGCCCATCACATGCAAAGGCAGTCAAGGCATTCCGCCCGAAACCGTCGTGTGCAAGGAGGTTCCCAAACCCTTTGCGCTGTAATGCAGCAAGTGCATTGAAGTCTGCCTCAAATGCCGCCAGGGTCAGCAACGTGCGCCCATCAGCACATCGCACGAAATCACTTAGGACGCGTAGCGAAGAGAGATACGGGGACTTGGCGGCATCCCAACGCCACAACACGTCCGAGAAGAATCTCTTCCAGGGTAAAATGAGAGCGGATGAGGTGTTGCGGAGAACACCATCTTCATCCTTCCGCAGGGCGGGGAAGAGGCACACATCACGTGCAGAGACCTTTTCACCGCTGAGATCTTTCCGGCGACGGCGCAAGTGCATGCAACCTTGGAGGGGCTGGGAACTGGAGCAAACAAAAAAAATACTGTGTAAACATCCTTCCTCAAAGGGGACGCACCACACAGGGAAATATGGGAAATAAAACATGTGAGCCGCGGTCAAATTTACTAAGTCAACGGGTATCAGGATTTGGTGTTTGATATCGTGTTTCAGGTTGTGTAGGTTATTGGAAGTTATCGTTGCTTGGTGAAGTGAGGGTATGATTGTTTGTTTTTGTTTATCTAGGAGCATCTGATCTCTTGACTTTAATTGTAACATTAGGCCGTAGCTCATGCGGGTGTGCGTTACAATAGGGAGACCTCCCAGGCAACGACTCCCTGGTTTCGGTTCGGGAAATTTATCCCAGTCTACCCAGCCAGGCCCAGGGGGTCTCCCAATTCATTATACCAGCCAATGGGTGCCGTAAGCAAAACAATATGTGGATTTACGGGGGGGTCTGAAAAAGTGATTTATAATATGAAATGGTGATGGCATGGTATATGGATATATCCACCTATATGCCAAACATCACAAGGCCACTGGCATCCTTGGGCTTTTGAGCCAAGACCTCATCGACGCTCTCGATGGAGGAGGGCGAGTGAGCAAGGCATCGGCCCAAAGGTGAAGCATCCCATCGGAAGGCCTCCAAGCGCTGTGCAGCCGCCGTCCAGAGCGGAGTTGGCAGAAGAAGCGCCGCGAGGGTCAGGATCAGAAGCATCCGGACCATAGCTGCTCTATTGATCTGCAGCCCGTGGAACTCTGAAACTTTCCGCAGCAGACCATAGAACAAGCAGGCCAGGAACATGTACCACCTCCGCTCCGGCCTCAAGCCACAGCAGCTGGCCAAGTAGACTGCTAAGTAGACGCCGAAATTGGCCAAGTGCCAGCGGCAGTGCTTTAGGCTTTCGCACCATCCACAAAATGTCCACCCAATGTGGGTGTCGAAAAGCTTGTGCCCCTCTAAGCATGACTGCCGTAAGGGCTGAGGTCCCATCCACAACTGCAGCCACCAAGAGTGTGGTAGCCAAGTGGTGGTGCAAGGATGAGGGTGAATGCCAACTGCACCATGCAGCACTTTGCATGACAATAATCCACATTGGCATGATCAAGTAGTTGTTGAGCCTCCGCACCCAGGACAAACACCTGCCCAAGGGCCAGGGAATGAACAAGGGCCAGGGCCACGTGGTGATGAAGTACCACAGCAGCAGAGTCTTGAATCCCACTACGTTGCTTGCCGTGCGGTGCTCATGGTGTTCTAACGCAGCACGCTGTGCATAAAGGCTTGACTCTAAGGACTGGAAGCAAAGAGACACCTCACGAAGGCTTGTTGCTGTGAGCAGCCATATCAGGAAGGAATAGTCTAAGTTGTAGGCTTGAAGCTCCTCCACGGCCCAAGAGAGCCTTTGGGCAAACTTCGGGTCCTCGGAATCCACATAATGTGAAGTCTGGCTCTTGCGGGGAAGCCTGGCCACCAGATGTTCACCTAGAAGCTGCTGGAGGCAAGCAGGGTGGCTCCAGACCTGATACCAAGGATACGTTTGGAGAATGAGGCCCATCGCCTTGCGGCGCACGGCCAAGTCCGGGTCACCTAAGGAGTCCTGGAGGAAGTGCCAGCGCTTGCGCATTTCTTCGGGATAGGCCTTCAACAAAAGACGTCTGAAAGAAGACATTTCAGCCACCGGTGCAAACCTGGAGAAGATGGTGCGCCCATTCAAATCTACTCGACTGTCACGCTCCAAAAGCCTCCAAAAGGCCTCTCTGCCCTTCTTGAGTAAAACGGCCTTGGCCAAGTTGAGTTCATCTGATCCGCTCTGTCCGTTTCGCCAGGTGCCCTCAGGCCTGTCAGACTCAGACAGCATCTGGGCACAAGTGCGCGAGAGCGCTCTCAAGCATCTCAAGTCTGCCAGGCCCTCACTCATCCAACCGACGAGGCAGCTATGTTGAAGCAGGAGTTGAAGTACCCCTGGATCCATCGAGCCTTCAAAGCCTTCTGCTTGGTGACTTCGGCCGGTGAAGCTACATCACAGCGAGGTGCTGTCCCGATGTCCGGACGTCTGTGCTGACGAGCCATGAGAGCAAAACAACTGCCAACTGCCTTCAGTCTTGTTTGTGACTTCCGACGGTGAAACATCAACAGAATCAACAGAAGTTCAAGCAAGTGGGTCAACCTATATACACAATATAATGATGATCTACATGTTTGGATCTATTTAGGGGGACCATGGGGGACCTCAACCTCAATGGAGCCTTTGAAAGCCTTGAGATCCGTTCCAATTCATCTCTTACCCGCCTGAGAGACGGAGGCCTCCGTCTCCACCCGACGGAGACGACCTGAGCGGAGTAGAAGCAGCCATGGCTGACTGCATCTGACTGCACCAGTTGACACACGACCGACCAGTTGACCAAGTAACCTCTCTCCATTTCTACCTTTCAACCAAACTATGCATCGCTGCAGCTTCAAATGCCCATAGCATCTCAAAACCTCTCCCCTAACCCAGGTCTTTTGCAATTACGAACCCCACCTTTCCAAGCACCACTGGCCCTTTCCCACGCGTTTGTGCCGTCTCCGCCCTTTTCTCTCCACCGTCGTGTGGGCTTCCGACATGATACAACTGTTGGCTTGAGAACCGATAACCGTGGAAGCTTTCAGGAGGGCTGGGACAAAGATTTGCTCATCTCGCCCTAGGCCCTATTTTCTATGTTGACCAATCAGACATCAAGTCAAACAGTCAGGCTGCAGGAGCCTCATCACCACCAATGGACGCTTCAAGCCAGACTTAACGTCTCATCCATGCAGTCCATCTTGGCTCCTCCAAGTGCATCGACCTGTCATCGGCACGTCGTCGGCGTCCATGGCGAACTCACCACTCCCCGTGGACAGTGCTCCCATCAGGCCACGTAAGGAGGCCCAGGCCAGTCTTCTGGTCCTCCTGCAGGATGGACCACAAGTGGTGTGTGTGAGAGAAAAACCAACCGGCTTCGCTGCGCGAACAAATTGACCTCACATGCCCAACTTTTGCTGCCATCATCTTGCCAGCAGTTCCAAGGATAGGGGTGCGGAACTGGGTGCGGATAGGGGGGAGGATCGGGGTCCCAGGACTGCATATGATCCACTGCCTAGAAAGGGGCCCCTATCCACCTCCAAATCGCACCCCTGGAGGTCGGATCTGAGACTCTCACCGGAAGAAGCGAGACCAAATCCAGGTCTGGGCCCAACCATGCAAGCGGTCGTTGACGCAGGATTGTGAGACTACAAAACGAGTCATCCTTTTTGTAAAACGGTCTTGCAAGGCTATGGATCTATGGAATATATGGAATCTATGGCACCATTTCTCTCCCTTTCGAACTCTCTCCAAAAGGCGTCGGTACTTAAGTGCGCCGCCTTCGCAAACTCCACGACCAAAAAAAGGGGTGTCCTTCCATTCGCCCTTGAAGAGGCTGCCATCGGGGTACTTTCGGACGCCTGAGCCATTCCTCTGATCGTCCTTCCATTCACCTGGCGTCCGAATGCTGGCGGGCCAGTCTGAAACAAAACATGTGAAGAATCCCAAACCATGCGCGCACGGGACAGTCACATACATTTACGTACGTGATATACGTGATGTATACATGTGCATATATGCATAATAGTAACTATATACCTGGAGTCTCAAAGTACCTCGGAAAATGGGTACAAGTACCTGTTTTTATGGGGTCATGTCCCATTTTCTAAGGTACTTTGGAGGGTCCAGGTAGAACTATTCCATACATGGATCGTTTGGACAAGTTCAGCACTGCCATCCCACCTGTAAAGCTGCTGCCGTCGGGGTAAATCAACAGCCCCTGGCCATTCCTCTTCCCAGCACGCCACTCACCCTGGAAGTAGCTGCCATTCGGCCATTTCAGCACTCCCAGGCCTTCTGGCAAGCCATCCTGGCCACTTCAAAAAAGCCCTTCTGATGACTGCCCTCAAAGGCAAAGCAGCTGGAGTATCTTCTCACTGCCACGTGTCTTCTGTGATTGAGGACATGTGCACAGGGAATTTGGAACGGGAGAAGTTTCAATAGTTGGCTTCTGTCTAAACGGCAGCGCCAACATCCCTCACAGTCAAAGCCACCCAAGCCAATGCATCCCAAGGTATCCGCCGGTCGTCCGGGTCCTTCCACTGGCCTTCATAGCAGCTTCCCTCCTTAGACTTGTACGCCCCGCAGCGGCTCGTCCCCATGCCCTTGGATCCCCCGTCGTAGCCGGAGGACGTCCAGGAACTCGCGCCATGGCCGAAGAGATGTGAGGTGGCGCCGAAGGTGGTGAATATCTGCCAGGAGGGCGTAGGAGGAAGGATGACATGTCTATTTGAGATGAATATTGACCAACAAAAAGTGAGGGAGAAGCTCCAGTGATAGTGTCATGAAATTTCATGTTTCGTAATGTTCCAACATTGTTCCTTGTGCCACCTTTGGTGACCGCTACTAGGAACAAGAACGCTACTAGGGGCTCCTGGCCTTACTACCAGGAACAGGAATGCTACCAGGGGCTCCTGGCATCGCTACTAGGAACAATGTTTGCTATTAGAATTAAAATAATAGATTATAATTAAGTTAGAATTGGTAGCAAAGGAAGTTTGTACCACCTTTGGTGACCGCTTCGCACGGTAGTTCTAGTTGTTGTCATCGGGTAGTTCTAGTTTGCGGTGCCAAACTAGTGCACTCAGCGGATGGCAGCACCCTAAAAGAATGAAGACTGCTGACGGCGCTTAACTTCACCAACTCACATGACCAATAGCACGTAGCTTCACTGAACCTGCCCCACCCTTGTCCTCCACCCCTCTTCACCTTCCTCTATACAATCCTTTGGCTATATTAACTATATACGGATATGACCAGGACATGTGCAAAAAACCACATCAAACCATCTATTTTCAACCACCCTCCGATCGCCAGGACGCTCCTGCTCACAGTAGCTCCTCACTTCGTGCTCCGCGAGTCCTCCCAGGAGCTTCAGCGGTGCCGACTCTGCCAGGCGCTGCGACGCCTCCGCGGGCGTCAGGGTCTCGGACGCCCGCGAGGTGAGGAAGATGGTGGTGGTCACCGTCCTGGTGCCGCCCGCGGGGAGCAAGGGAGGGTTGGATGGGATGGGATTGAGAGTCTATGGGATGGGACCAATATGGACCAATTAGTAGTATGGTTTTCTTGTACTTCTACAGGGAGATTCGATGGTTTTGGGACTGTGCTGGTGGCATGCCATTTTGGGGATCTGCTCGCTATACGTCTTCCTCAACAAAAAGCAGGGGTCTCAACTCCAACAAAAAAAAAGGTGCCAATGCACCAATACTTTCACCCAAATCCTAAGCCTCCTTCACACAACCCCACCTCAATCCACCTCAATCCCATCCCCGTCCTGAAGAGTTTCAAAAACTCCAAGTCCATGTCAATCTTGCAGCCCGGCGCCGCCTTTTCCAAGAACTCCACGCTGCCCGGCAGCCGCGGCACCCAATCCTGGTTGTTCACATAATTCACCGCGTGCGACATCCACTCCAAGGCCTTGCCTGGCTACTGGCAGCTTCTTGAAAAAAAGGTGCAGTATTTTAGGAACCTGGATAGTGTGGCGCAGGTTTCTTGGAAGATCTGCTGGAGCTCCCAGAATGGAAGGAGACACATCTCATTCTAGAAAGAACGCCCCCAACCACTTGTCAAACAGGCCAGCCAGTCCGGAAAACTCAAGAAAAGCTACCCAAGCTGTTCCCCTAACTCAGGATCCTGCAAGCAAGAACCTGTACCCTTCCCCATTCATCAGTGCTAAATTTGAAGAAACACCCCCCCAAAAAAACACCATTGGAACACATGGTGGCCATTGTGCGATCTGACCGCGGCAGTTTGAACCGCAACAGGTGAACTTAATGATGAACAGCGTCCAACCTCAATTCCTTGAAGTTGAAGGTGTTAACAGCAACAACCAGCACCCTCCGACCGAAACTGGGCTCAACAACCTCCAACCCTCGAGGATTTGGAAGTGAGGCGACTGGAAGCTGAAGCGGTTTTTCTTGTGCACATAGAAAAGCTCCTTCCTACTTCATCTCCGGCCCTCAATGAATCAACACTGGGTGACTCCAGCAAAATCCCAAACAAAAGAATAAAACACATATCTTATATACTTATATGATCTTATATGTATATATATATTATAGCAGAAAGGACAAGATCTTTCGCTTGCAAAGCCTCCTTCTGACATCCTGTCATGACATTTCCCCATTGAATTCCGTGTCGCAACACATTCTTGAATTTGGGAAACCAAATTCTTGTTTGGATCCGAAGATCCGTTCCACCGAAGTCCTTCCTCTCTACTCTTCCCCACCTGCATCACCCTGCGGATCCACCGCAAAGGGCTGTGGCGCAGCCAGGGTGAAGCAGCGCAGTCGCGAGAGGAGCCGCGCCACGTCGGAACCGAGGCGACCGCGCAGCACCTGGGTTCAGTGGGACGTGGGAAGTTGGGATTCGGTGTTGAACGGACATCTGCTGTCGAACGGACATCTGCTGCTTCGGAACCGAAGAAAAAGAAGCACATATATATATATATATCGTATATATATGTCTACCTAGAATTCATACCTAAAACATCCTGATTGACCCCCTGTTTCGGAGCCCAAACATGGTCCACTTCGCGGGGCTCAGAGGCTCTTTCACTAAGCCCGTCTTTGGAAAACCACCGGACGTCGTGGGGACCGACTTCCAGGGTGACTTCCAGGGGTCATGGTACCGGTTTCTTGGACCATGGAGACGGTGCCTGTTCGAAGGTCGTGGTGCCTGGTTTCATGGAGTTCGGAGTTTCGCATCGCCTCCTGGTAAGCCAGCATCGCTGTGACTTGTGCCAGTGCCCCGCCCAAGCTGTGGCCACAAAGCAGCACAGCGTGCAAGCTGCTTGGGTCCTCCTGTGGGCTGGTGAATGGGGAGATTCAGATTCACTATATAAAATCCCATGCACCCTTGATTCACGGTTGTTCCTCTACCAGCCACTATTACCACTGCGTATTTGACTATAAAGACTTTGCACTGCAAAATTACAAAACTACGTCATTCTTCGTTAAATGGTATTGAAAGGCTGAGGTCTAGAGTCTAGGAGTTATATATATAGATATATGAACCTCATTTGTCAACATTTGGTGAGCTTGTCGAATCTCAGCTCCTCATAAGTCAAACAGAGGAACAAACATGAACAGAACAGTTACAAAGTAAAAAAGGAGCGTGTCCGGCTTGGCACGTTCCTAGGAGTTTCAACTGGGTTCAGGGCTTCAAACCCACGCTGACAACTCTCAAATGCCATTCCACATCCCACCAGCAAATGATGGTTCCAAATTCAAATGTTCCAAGTTGTCCCACATCGTCCCACATTCAGAATTAGAACTTTGCAATCGCCTGGAGCATCGGAAACGATCCCACAAGCAGCATGTCTTTGACCCGCCATGCAGTGGTCTTCATTGGTTGCCTTCCTCATGTGAGGCAATTCTCCTCTTGCAGCGCGGCAAGAAACTTCTCCACCAGTGCATCCACGTGGACCAAGCCTTCAGCGGACTTTGGAACCTCAAAAGAGGAGTTACCGTCTCCAAGTGGTTTTTCGGTTCGATTCGCTTTTTCACTTAAACAGATCTGATAGAGTGTACCATAGTGTACCCGGATACCCCCACCGAAATCTGTGATCGGTCCCCTCGTGCGCGGATTTTCTTGAACAAATGGTGGAGCTGCGACTGCGACCTCCGAGTGCCTTTGGAAAAAACAAAGTAGTGAGGATACGTTAGATCCCCATGTACCACTACTTGGGGACGATGGTACCATTGAGTGGGGCATCAGCTATAGCTGGGGATCCTATGTACTTTCTAGTCCTCACTGTTTAGTCAAAACGATCCCAAATCCCCCAACTCCGGCGGCGATCTTTGGCCCACACGGGGGGCCGTTCGTAGACGAGTCGTCGGTCGTCTGAGTGGGACAGGGGAGTGGATAGGTTCTTTTCTGCATGCTGCATGCTGTGTACCCTGTGGCTTAAGTATCTTAAGTGAATGTTCAAAGGAACAGGTTCTTTTCTGCACCTGGAGCTGAAGACGTCAAGTGCAAAACCCTTCACTTCTCTCAATCTCTGGCAATGGACACCTGGCCAGGGCCTCGGAACCAGGAACCTGGATGGACGGGACCGTCTTGACCGAGGAAGTGGGACAGCCCACCAGTTCGGAACAAGCAGTTCGGGGTCTCATCCACGTTGGCCACCACTGCATCCATTGAAGGCGGGGTTGGGGCTCTTCAGCGTTGGGTCAACAAAAGAGACCTTATAAACCCTTCGAGGCTTTGCATCTGAAGGCTTTGGAGAAGACCTACAACCTCCAGCCATCTGAAGGCCTCAAGCCTGCATGCTTTCATGGTGACCCCAAAGCACTTCAAGTGAAGTTTGCCAAGGAGCTGCAAGCGCACTTGCCGGCCAGGGCTTTGTCTACTTGGAAACTACTTTCCATCACTTGTTGTGGTGGGATCAAATCAGCGACCGCCGAGCCAGTCCTACGCTGCGCCCTTTGGGACGAAGTCGGTCTCAGTTGAAAAGAATTACCAGCAGGACACCTCTGCCAGCACCGTAACCAACAGGTCTCCGAAATGGATCAAAAAGTTGGATTTCGGAGCTGCACATCCCCTTCAGCCTTCCGTTTTCGCTGGCTGCGGTATCTTGGGATGGACAACAGCTGGTGCTGAGGAACCCAACCCATCTCCAGATCACAGCGGCTTTCCCCCACCCAGTGGAAGCCGTGGGACTGGCCCAACCCGCTTGAACCCAAAGGCCCTGCTCCTTGAACCTCGGGCGACGCCGTCAAAGAAACATCATGCAATACACAAGTAAGTGAGATCAATCATCTCACGTCAAGGTCGAAAATCCAGTCTTTGAATTCACCACCCAGTTTTCTTCAAGCCATTTCCTGAGATTCCAATCCTTCAAAACAATCTGAGCCTACTCCAAGTCGACTTCCCTTCACACTTTGTACCCAATGGCTTCTGCTTGTCCGGCACCACCGCAGCGTTTGCCGCCCAGTCTGCAGCTGTTCGCGATCCTCGAAAACTGAGCACGAAGACCTTCCGCTGCTCATGCGTCGTGGGGTCCTGGCCAGGCTTCCAACTGGCCAGCGGTCCGAGCTATCCCCACCTGGTCGGATGACTGGGTCGGGGTGACAGGTCAAACGAAGACCCATGGTGCCGGGTGCCCATGTGGACGTTAAGCTTCAGATTCTCCAGGCCTCTTCAAAGCACGGGTTCTTACCTGGTTGACGGTTGGCCCACGAAACAGAAAGAAATATGAGTCAGTGGGTGAAACATCATCCCAAGTAAAGGTTGAATATACAAATCAAACATCCGAAACCCATCGAAACCCAGTTGCTCTTGTTGCGGTTGTTTTTTTGATGAATCGATGTCCATCGATGTCCAATGACGCAGACCCAAAGACCGAGGTAACCAACGCCATGATGGCCTCCCAATGCCATGACGAGGTCAAACCAAACTGCAGGTGTACACTGAAAGATCAGAGCGAGGTGTTTTGTAAATGAGTGGAATGCCGTGATATAACCAACAACATGAGTGTAGATGAGTTTGCTAGAGATGTTGAATAGAATATAACTATATACCATCAACATATACATAAATATACATAACGTGTATATATATATATAATATTACTGCATGTATATAAAATTAACATATTCTTGTTCAGATTGCTCTTGCTGGTGGCATTCTCAGTTGAAGCTGCGCTGCCCTTCAAACCCAACCACAAACACAATGTGATATCAAATGTTAAATTGTTGATCAGAGTTGACCCCTCCTCATAGCTCGCGACAAAGGTGCCTTTCTGTGTGATGTCTTCACGTGTGGGCTCCAAGATGGCTCGCACACGGCAACCTGAGGAGCTTGGAGTTAAAAAGGTGACAGTGACATACAGTGACGCTACTCTTCAGCAGTGACGCTACCATCCACACTGATCGACACGAAATCCACACTGATCGAAACCTGGGATGGATGAGACACATCAAATGCATGCATTAAACCAGTTGAAACATCAGATGCGACATGTCTCCGGACCCCTGCCGGAGCGGACCTCTTAAGCATAGCGACGGGCGATTGGTGGCCATAGCCTTTCTTCCGCCTTCCGGACCTCTGTGTCGCCACATAAGAAGAAAGAACGACACACCCCTTTGGATGGCATGGCCCCCTGGATCACAATTCCATTTTCCAAAGATCAAGCCGGTGCTTTCTCCTTCCATGACTATATTTCAGGAATGTTACAGTACTAGTATATATATATATATGTCTATGAGAAGCTTCCTTTCTTAATTCTTCGAAGCTTCATTCTTCCTAGGATGGACACGACTAAGTCCCTACTGTAAGAACCGGATTCCGGGAATAAGAATCCTCCCTTTGCTGCCACCGTGGCTGATCTGCAGGTTCACCGGCCCCAGTTGTAGGAAGAAGGGCAGTGAACGTTCCGTTGGCTCATAAATCCAATAGGAAGCGCTTGCAGCGAGCAGGGAGAAAATCTGCTCATCCATGGCACCCCACAGCAGGTGGCTGGCGCTTCGGTGCTTGGGAGTGGGGCTGTGACATCCATCGCAGAAAAACGCTGTGCTTGGGGTAGGGGTGGAACCCCTCGCCGCGACCTTCCGATTTGTAAATGGTGCGTTACAGAACACCCTTTGCGGCTTTGCACTGGGGCGTCTTGCGTCTTAAGCCTCTTCCGGTCAACTGCCTCTCTGATTGAATTGAACAGTGCTTGGGGTACAGTATGGTCACTTGGCCCCATCATATCCAAAGCTTAGATGGCTTTGAGCGGCCGTCACATCCACTTTCAGTGATTTGTGGAGCCTTGTCCCACCATCCATTGAACTCAGGGACGATATTGATGAGTCACACCTAACCTCTCAAAGCAAACATTGGGTGCACTAACAAAGGATAAAGCCTCTAACATTTTGCTGTGCTTCGAACAGCTAAATACTGTGAGCCGTATCAGGAGTCTGTAAAGATCTGTAGACCGGTTCCGCTTCGTCCATGCGCTTCGTACCCATCAAGGCGGGCTCAAGCAAACTCCAGAAATACCTAGAGGAAGTGGATCTTCGATGGCCATTCCTGTGTTCTTCAGAGTGCCTGCTCTGCTGCAAGAACGGCCGGGGCGGAGTTCGCCCAAAACCATGAATCATCAATTCCTGATAATTCCTGTAAACTCTGGATGAAAAACTCACACATGGATGGTAAAGCCTTGTCTTCACGTGGGGGGGGTTGATTGATCAAGAGTCTACATTAGGGTTCGAATGGTCTTCCCGAGTCTCTTCATGCTTCGGTTGGGTGCCTGAGCATTCGACGGAGCATTGTGGACCTCGGCGGATGGGAGAAACAACCAATCGTAGGTCGTAGGAGGTGTCAAACGTGTGTTTTCTGTCCAGGAGGTTTGTGAAGCATGGTGAAACCAAAAAACTTTATTGAAAATAACCGATTGCACCTAAGAACCTGTACTTAAGGATGCACCTTCAGAACTCGTCGCGACATAGAATGCCATGTGGATTTCACGGGTTCATTATGCGTTCACATCAACACTGCACTCAACTCCCAACGGGTCACCTCCTGCCGCTTGAAAAAACGCTCCATTTCGGAGACCTGTTGGATCCGGGTGCTGGTACAACGTGTCATCAAACCATCGGTGCGTCCATGAAATCGGTGCGTCGTGCCAGACCGGGGCTGGCGAGACAACAAGGCAACCCTAGAACTACACAGATGTGATGTGTCATCATTATATAGATATAGATATGTGGACGCGCGCCTGGACATCCTTGTTGTCCTGCATGTTACATCTACCTGACCCGTGCTTTTTTGCGGCGCTGCGCCAAACAAACACAACATCTCGGAGTAAAACGATGCACAAAATGTGTATCCAGTCAACCACCGTTTCGCATTTTGCGAACAGCCATGTTGACCTTTAAGTAGTCACCCCTCCTGGCAACCCAAGCCCCTAACCCTGAGAACTTGAGAGCTCATTGCTTGGATCGCTTGACTGCCACACTCAATGACACTGTGCGTGATTCAGTGTACATCTTCTTGCCGCGAGGAATATGGTAGTCAGTATCCACACGTTTTTGTGCAAGGAATTCATAGCCTTTCAGCTGCCAGATTGCAACAATCTCTTCCCAAGTCAGTTTCAATTTGGAATCTCTCTTCCAGTTGAGAGGGCCCAAGTTCACCCAAAGACCTCCTACATCCAGCAAGCTGTCCAACACCCCAAAGAGCTCCTCCACATCTTTGGACATATCAATAAAGAAGCAGGTGACCACCGCATCGAATTGTCTGAAGCCAGGCCCACCAGTCTGGTAAGTTCCTTGGATGAGCGGATCCTGGAGAACCAAACAAACATTTTCCCCGAGGAAGAAGTGGATTCACCCAGATTCAGGAGTCATTAAAAATACCGAACTGGGGGCGGGTCAAAACCTGGAGCCTTGGTCTGGCATAGTGTCTGGCATATAGTTTGACGAACACAGTGTAAGCAAAAACCGTTCGGTCTCAACTAAATACCTTCTGCCACGCCCCAAGGTTCTGAGAAAATCGCCCGGGACCACCACCACCGGCGCTTGGGACCCCTCCACGGGACCGCTGGAGTTCGCCACGCTGCGTGGAGACACGTTGGGCACGGTGAGTTCGGTGTATTGCTGCTCCAGGCCCCAGTTCTCCCAGAAGGCATGGGCCAGTGGAAAGAACGGCGTTGCCAGTGGGGCCCGGTTCCTGGACGGAATTGACGAGAGGAGAAGAAGATATGTGTAGCTGAGGGCTCTTGGCTCTCATCCAGAAGTATGCTATCTTTTTCCCCACCTGCCGGGTGAGGGTTGTTAGATTTTAGCGGAAATGGCGTCCTCCTCCTCCTCCCCTCCGCCGGACCTCAACTGCAAGTGCTAGATCGCAGTGGGCACCGCCGGACCTAAACCGCAAGTGCTGGATGGCAGTCGGCCCTGCCGCAAGTGCTGGATCGCACGGTGGGCATTGCCGGATCTCAACCGCCAGCGCTCGACTGCAGTGGGTCCCGCCAGACTTCTCAACCGCCAGTGCTCGATCGCCAGGGTATATATGCCAGATAGAATGCAAAAATATCGGCTAAATAGATGACAGGATACATGACGCCTTGTAGGCTCCCAGAACATGTGCCAGGTAGAATGCCAGAATATTGCACGCTAGAACGCAAGATTAATTGCCAAATAGAATGTCAGAGTTGTCAGAGAATGACAAAATGTATGCCAGATAGAATGACAGAGTAAATGCCAGATAGAGTGCCAAAAAAAAATCCAAAATGTCTGCGTGAAAAATGTCAAGAAGTACTCCAAATAGAATGCCAGAATAATTGCCAAATGGCGTGCCATAGAATACCAGGACAGATGGCAAGTAGAATGCCACTACATGCCAAATAGAATGCGGATATATGACAATAGAACACCAGAATGTATGCAGAATATACTCCAAATAGAACGCAAGAACATTTCCCAGATAGAATGCCAGAATAAATGCCAAATAGGCTTCGAAAATGTATGCGAGAAAACGGCCAAAAGGTACTCAAGTAGAGTGCCAGAATATACCAACATATTGCCAGAGAGAGTGCCATAGATTGCCGGATAGAATTTCAGCATGTATGCCAGATAGAACGCCAGAGTAAGTGCAAAGCAAAAAGCGCCTTATATGCCAGATAGAGTGCAAGAGTATTTGCCAGATAGTATGCCAAATAGAATGCAGGGATGCATTGCAAGATAGACGCTTTCTTTGGTTGCAATTGTCTGACTAGTGTCAGAGCACAATATACCAGGACCGACATCGGACCGTATGTCACAGCACATGTCAGATCGCACGGCAGGAAAAATTGTCAGAACACACGCCAGCAAGGACATCAGAACAGAGTCCAGAACATTTCTCAGCCTCATGATAGATGATGCATATGTGTCAGAGCACAAACCAGACTTGATGCCAGAACAAGCGTCACAACATTGTGTCAATCCGCAATGTCCGCAATTGTCAGGCTAGTCTGTCAACACATGTGCCCTGACTTCTTCCAAATCGCCTTTCAGGATCACTGTCACTCGAAGTAAAACATATATTTAATAAATGTATATACATGTACAGTATACAACCAGTATAGTCGTTGGCATGTGTTGACCTCATCTTCAGGATTTTGGGAGTTCGGAGTTCTGAGGATACTCTTGCGTCGACACATGACCTATGCAAGCCTTCCAGGTTGAACATACGCAAGCCTTCCAAGTTGGAAGGTTAGTTATGTCATACTTACCAAAAAATGCTGCTTAGAAAATCCAAGGAGTCAAAATATAATCGGCAAAAGTCATGAAGAGCGCAGAGGCGTCATTGGCCTCCACCTGCCACAAGTGCGAGGCACCTGTTTTTCATCAAAGTCCAGTGGAACAACAGAAACAAACACATAGCAAGCCTGGGGACTGGGGGTATCAATTATGTTATCATCCCTGCAAATACCATTTAAGCATCAACTAAAAAAACAAACAAATCAAGCTAAAGGGGTGGATTCACAGCACTATTCCGTCCGTATACAGAGTATATCATAGTATATCAGCACGTTTCGCACGTCGGCACGGACGCCTGAAAGCCTTCTCCCGCCAACATCAGCGCCAGGCGTCCCAAACCAGCACCGGGCACCAAAACGTGGCTTCCACGTGGAAGATGTGGCTTCACCTCTTCCAGCAGCTGGCCATACTGGTTTGAGATCACCGTCTGCTCGCTAATGCCACTCCAATCACGCATCAGGTGGGCAAACACCGATTGTAACGTGCCGTACGCGCGGGACACGGTGGCAAGACTGTTGCCCAAGCTACGGAACTCTGCCACTGGCCTCCGGGCAGCGTGGCGCTTTTTTCGACCCCCAAAACAAGTCGGTGTTGATGGATGTGTTCGAATGCACCGGTTTCATCGCCTCTTCAAACGATTGCTGTTTGCTGCCTCTTACATGATGAAGCATTGGAGGCTCTTGTCCTGGCGATTTCGCCTCGTTTTAGCTAAAACGACGGAATCACCAGGACAAAAAAGAACCAAACACCTTTGACAGGGAAGCTAGCTGCTGCTAGCTAAACCAAAGAATTACACCTTCGGTTTGTCACATTCTTCACCCACCCAAAAACCCGAACCACCGGCCACGGACCACAGCACCTTGCAGGCGGTGTGCAAACCTCCGAACGGTTCTCGCTGACGAGCGCCGTTCGGTCACAGGAGTCATCGGGCAGGTCGTCGAGGAGCTGCTCGACCAAGCGTTGATTCCTTGGATTGGCTAGAGGAACCATCCCCAAAAATATACACATAGAAAATAGAAAAGGAGATTCAGGTTCGGAACTCCTACCACATATACATACCCAAAGACTCCATGAGACTGCCGTTATCTGCGGATCAGTTGGGGTGGTTGAGGTGGGAGGCCAATGGGGCGGCAGTCCTATGGCAGTCCCATTGCTCGTGTCTGGGATCTATACCGTCCATCCCCACCGCCCGGACCGGGCTCTCCGCCGCCCGAGGGGCGTCTCGGCGGCGTGGCGCATCGCCGCGGTGCGTCGCTGGTAGCGCTCGGCGCCGAGGAGCCGCGCGGTGCTGCTGTGCTGTAAGGCACGGGCGTCCTTCCTTGGGGGGACTGTTTTGGGGATATGGTGGGGAGGGAGATGGAGGAAGGGAGGGAGGGGAGAAGAGTGGGAGGCCAAAGCTTTTTTCGTGCTGAAGAGTTTGTGGGGAAGAGAGGGATTGACCAGTTAGATAATTACATGAAGTTACTATACAAATAAGACGTCGTGACCTGCCCAAAATAGAACTAAAAAGCATTATAGCAAGAAATCTCAATCTTCAAACAGCTGCAGGGCTCGCTACCAACTTTTCATACTTCTTCAGCACCTCCCTCAACTCACTTCTTGACAGGCGCCAACCTTCCACTCTGGCTGACATTGGCTTAGGGTTCCGTCGAAGAAGCACACATGCAGCACTCAAAGAAATGACTGCAATGCTGCCCCAATGCCACGGGCGCAAGAAGTGGGCGACCTTCTTGAAACTCGCAGTCCCCACCATGGCCCCGATGTCGAAAGCAAAAGCAAAGAAAAGCGTGGGGCCCGCGGCCGGGCCGTTCCGTAGCCAAGGCTGGGACTTTTTGTTATAGTTCATTTGGGCCAAGAAGAAACATATAGAAACATCCTTGCTTGTTTGAATGAAAAACTCCATGTCACCAACTTGCCAAGCATGGGATGTCACCAACTTTGGTGTGATGATCCTTTTCACCAACTTTGCTTAAGATCTGCTTCTGGGCTGAGGTCTCTTGGTGGATTCGTTGGCGCTGCGGCTGGAATGAGTTGCTTTCAGGCGGGCGGCACGCGCGAGGACATGTCGCTCGAGAAGATGAGAAGCTGCCAAGCTGGACCAAGAAGTGAAAGAACGCTAACCCAGACTACCTGCACAAAACAGCTTCACCCAAATTTGAGTGGTGCCCCCGTTCTCTCTTCATTCTGAGGCTTTGCAGGTGATCCACTGGGTGATTGTACCCTGGCTAAGCACAGCAACAGGGTCGAACGGTCGTCTTCGAACGATAAGGAGACTCTGTGTTCTCGCTGTGCGTGCCAGCTCACCCACGTGGTCAGCAAACTGTTTTGGATTTGCTATACTCAGTGATATCAACACTTCCCCTCTCAAGCTGAAATGATGGATTTCAACATGAAATCAACATCTAGAATCGAAACGAATGAAGACATGTCTACTAGACCAAGCAAGACTAGTCTGGGAACTTGCATGATCTTACTTGCATCTCTTGAGCCCTGGGGTGTTCACCGAAATCGAGTCAAACAGCCCCTCGTCCCGAGTTCGGCGGTTGGGCGGTGTCGTCTCTTCCCTCACTTTCTGCTGCTACTTCTTCAAGCGAAACATCCCATCTACCCAGTCTGATGCACTCCATGCAGCTGTCAACTTTCCCATTCCGGCCCTTCATCTTCCCACGTGAATAGCGGACCAAATCTCTGGCTAGAAGCCTCTTGCAAATGCTCAGGGGAGATTGCCCATGGAATCTCTTTCCATTCAGAACCAACTATGCGGGGCCAACCCAAACCATCCCCGGCTGAAAGCTAACACATGGACCCTGAAAACCACTAGCTGGTAGAGGAAAACCATCTTTACGGCTGAGTCCATGTGAGGTTTTGGGAGTTCATCTTCCGTTTCCAACTCTCCAGTCGCCATGTTGAGCAGTGGTTCACCAAGGGTATTTCAGGGCTTCGGATTCCCCTTACTGTTCTGGAACCTCCTCAAAGGTGCTTTTGGACATGTCTAGGGCTTCCCAAGTCAGCCCCAAACGTTTTCAAACAACACTGGCTTGCCGGACGGGGATCTGACTAGACTGGATCAAACACGACTTCAGTTGATGTACAGTACACGGAACCTCCGCGAGTTCGCAACCTCCGCGAGTTGGCTTTCGGTGGAAAGAAACGCACCAAAAGGGTCCCTGGAACAAACCATGGCGGTGTGGACAACTGGCTTCTCGCCAGCAAACCTCACGGAGTTTACAGCTTCGTGGCTGGTCGTCAATCTATATTATATTCATATATATATATAGGATGGTGACTAGGATGGTGCTAAATCATCTACTCCTACAACAGGCGGTCCATTTCAAAAGCTCTTATTCTGAAAAGGCCCATTTCCGTCTTTGGCTTGAATAGATTCAAATCTCGATTGGAAAAACAACACATGAATAAACATGGGACATACTGCACAGTTCTGTAGACTCCGTATGCACTTCCGATACATTTGGAGCCGCAATTCCACTGACCAAATTCTCCAGATATTTCCACCATTCATTCTGAACTCTGACCATCTTCCAAAGCACTGAGCCTGTCAGTGGGGAGAATCTGCCCTCCACATCTTGAAGCCTCCAAAGACCCCCCTGTGAGGTTCAGTGGGGCTGAGGGTGGGTTTTGATGAACTAACGCCTCCCCATTCTGGAGAGTTACATCTGTATTCTCTCCAGGCCCAGGCCTACATGTACATCTTTTCTGTCTCTTCCCATTGGTCATTTTTCCAAATCACCGAACCGCGAAGCCATGCCGCGGCAGAACCCAGCAAACTCTCCATGAAAGGAACCCCTATGGACCACGCAGTCGTCTCACTCCTACACCAGCCCCGCTCGCCGCTCGCCAGGCGACATAGATCAGCCGCGGCCAGGGCGGGCGAAGGCATGGCGAACGCCGGTGGAATTCGCGCCGGGACCCGGCTTGGAGTGAGAAAAAGGCAACAACTATAAATATATATATATATATAATATGTAATATTATAGCAATATATATATAAGCTAAGGCTTAAAAAAAGGGTTGGTTCAAGTAGACTTCCGCTTAAAACAAAAGCTGTAAAAACCCATGCATTGCGGGTGCCATGACCATCCATGACTCGTCTTGTACCCGTCATGTTGGCCTTGGCGGGTGATGCTGGGGGATGGCAATGGACATGGGGGAAACATGGTGAATATCGGATATCAGTCATTTGAGGAATTGGTTGGAGGCACAATTAAACAGGAATGCTTCTGCTACATTGCTGGAAACATGTGGAAACTGCCTTATTGCATGCTAGTTCAGTTGCAAAAAAAGAAACAATACGGCGGGTTCTGGTTTCGCAGTCCCAAATTCACGTCTAGCAGCTAGCAGCACCAATGAAAGGAAGCACTTGACTCTTGAAGACAACACGTGTCATATTGAACTGGTTGGTGTTCAAGCTCCATTGTTGTTGGGGAAAACTGTTTCCTTCTCATCCCCTTGTCCCTTGTTCCGACATCACCCAAGCCACAGCAAAGAGAAAAGCTGCTTTCCTTTTTCCACAGGGTCGCTTGCGGCATCATCTTGATCTCGTTTGAGATCAATTGTGGCTGCTTAACAAAACGGATGAGGCGGATGAATCCAAGCTTCATCTGTCTCCAGCTGGGGGTTGGGTCCTCATTCAAACAGTTTTGCACGTGTTCAATTGGATGACAGGCCGTTGGGACGTTGAGATTACATGTTCCCCGGGGATCAGGAACGAACTCTCGAGCTGTCAGTTCCCTTGCATTTGAGGATCTAACTGTTCATAGTTGCTGATGCCCAAGAAAGAAACCCTTATATACAATTCTTGACACTTCAGATTCTTAGGATAAATGGTGAATTATGGTTACTAGGAAGCATAGCAAACAACCTAGTCAATTAGTATAGTGGCATCACCGTAGAAATGGTAAGGTTTGGATGTGGCTAAGTATCTATGTACCAAAGACGTGAATATGCTCGAAAACCCCGCCTGTTTCAGAAAACTGCCAGCGCACTCGGGATTTCTTGCCCGACGCAGCTAGTGGGAAATAAAACCGCATACACATCATACACATATGGTGGGATGCGGCTGGATGCATCACTTGCATCGAAGGCAAAAAGCTTGTTGGGAATCAAAGTCTTGACATGGGCACCCCTGTCCATACATGACATTGGATTCTACCAAGCCCTGCAGATTTCCTCACCTCCTGAAATGTGGATATCAAGTTTGGCTCTGCCAACGCTGTCTGAAGGAGCCCCCAAATTTCTTAAGACCTTCCCAATTTCAAGCCGCAAAAAACTTGGGAACGCGCGTCCCATGATGGTCACGCCGCCAACTCTGCAAACGTCCAGCCTTATTGCGGGCGCAAGGGAATTCAGGAAAGAAGCACTGGATGGAGAGGGACCGTCTAACTCCAAAGCACCACTGGGTGATGCTTGTTTATGCACACGGGGTCAATAGCGGAGCGATGCTGAGAGTGCGATCTTCGAACATTCCGTGGTGGTTTCTGCAGCATTTCGTAGTACCCGCAGGGCCACTGCGGAGAGCGTTAACTCTGCAAAGTATTGCGAAGTAGGTTTTTGGTGGCTTTGTAGGGTTGTTGCGCACTTTTTGTCGTCATCGGTGTCAGAAAATAGTCAGGAATTGTGCAACAGGTCAATTGCAAACGAACACTCATGTTGGATGAGACATGGGGTGGCGGGGTGGGGGCGGGCGTTGGGGGGGGTGATTTCGCTCTTGGCTGACTGATTGGAAAGGAAGATTATGTAGCGCTTGGATGATCTGCGAACCAAGATGAATTTTCACGGGAATGATCTGCGAACCTGCGAACTTTGATGTTTGCATGGATGAGAGATGGGGTGGGGGGGGCGACACGAAGTGCAATTGCAGTGGGATTCACTTGGAAGGAACACCGTCTCGAGACTCCAGCGGACGTGACATGCACGGCATTGGCAATGACATTACCCTAGGTTGACCAAAGTTGCTAGGTGTTGGAAATCATTAGAATTGACGACACCGTTCTTTCTGGAAATCATTCCTGTTGAATATGATCAGTCTTAAGACAAAGATCGGGGAAAGCAAAGTACCCAATGTCATTAACGACCCCGTGAGCTTCTTTCTCAAGAACAGCACGGGTAGCACCCAAAAGCCATGGAAAAACCCGAGGATTCGAGAATTATACATATATTAATATATAAAGGGGTTTGCGGGGCAACTTCGGCTGTGGATCCATAAACAGTCAAGTGGAGTCAAGTGCTTAGGGGCAGTGGACTTCTAGTAAGGGCCTCTGCCTCTACTTTCCTCTACCAAACCAGGACCAGGAGCTGTTCCACTTCTACGTGATGTACTGACTTCCGCAGTTTCAACAAAAAAATGCTCACCTTTTTGCATGGGGTTCTTGTTTCAGGGGGTTCTTGGTCCGCCCCCAAAAGCTTGCTACCCTCCGAATGTCTTTCCAGGGACCACCAACTCCACTTCCATTGTTGGAGGAAGGGTATCTATAGGGTTTGAACTTCAGGAGTTTCGAGCTAAAGGGGTGCCAAAACATGGCTGCGGTTCCACGCGCCGGTTCTCTGCGACCATTCGACGGTTCGGTCATCTTCTTCCACCGCCGAGGCTCGCTCCTAGCGCTTCACGTGGGACACATAGCTGAGACCCAAGGCACCCAGAATAGCAAAAATCACCAGCAAACCACCTGGGCCGCCGCGTCGCGCGTTGAAACCACACCTAAGCCACAACACCCGAGCCACAACTTGAGGTCCTTT